GCTGTGTACTTACATTTCCGATACAATATGCGCATTAATTTAATCTACTCGGTTAAATAAAAGACCATCGTAATTAGCTGATAAAATGTATTGAGTGTCCGTCGGCTATTTGACGTTTAATGGTCATTTTTTATTAACAAAAACAAGGCCAATCCGTCTATTTAGATGCAAGTTAAAAAAAAATGTTGTAACTGGTAAACCCATTTACTAAATAAAATAAAATAGAGTTTACCTATTTACCGCGTCTGAACCGGAAAGCGACATGCAAGCTAAAAAAGTATAATACACAGGTGAAGTTTCATTATTGATAACGTCGGCCGGACCAGATTCCCAAAAATTAACGTTCCAGTTTTTTTACTATTTAAAAGTTAAAACCTAATATTATTTTTATAATTTATAACGAATTAAATTGCATACATTGTTATAAAAAATTACCGTATTTTTAGACTGTATTTGTATCGGTATTTTTTTGCAAATTCGTCTAGTTTCAGTTTTATAAACGACCCGGATCCGACTTCAGTCGGATAGGTGATTTTTTATAGGTCTATTATATTATTTTTTCTCGCTCGTACGTGTTTTTTCTCTGGATACAAGTATAATGTATATATCGATTTGTTTGTCGTTGTGTGTTGTTCATATATAAATCAAACACAGCGGACTCCTCCAGCTTCTCAATAGCTGCAGTTATCTCTAATACGATTTATATAGGGCACACAACGGCAATTTAGATAATACATAATGCACACACGTGTGTGTAGCGCCGTTATCAATCAAGTAAAACGGCTTTTATGTTTTTTCCCCCGTAATCGTTAATACAAATTAAATAAATTGTTGCCCGACGTCCGATTTGTATTCCTTCTAAATGATTTTGTTCCACTGTGTTTTTCTTTTTTTTTTATTCTCCTTTTTTTAACCATTTAGGCACAATATTTCGTTGCTATGTCTCCATTGAAATAGTAATTAAAACGAAAGATAACTGAACCGTATTAATCGAGTTTAATTAATGTTGTGTCGTCGGTCGTGCCCGCGACAGGCCATATCACATTCATTCGAGCTAAAATGTTTTTAACGGAGCTCTTCTTGAACAACAACAAAAACGAAAAAAAAAACTTGTTCAAGTTGAAAAACTGTTATAACATCGAATTTCTATGAGATAACGTACTTACCCTTGAATATTATTCAATCAATACCGGTTTTTATATTGATGAAACGATATTCAGTAGTGTACCAGTATATTTTTACATAGTATTATAACATTGTTATGGCCGTCACGAACACAGTTTAGCATTGACCAGGTGCATTTATGAATGCATTAATGTCTAATGAACTAACGTTAACGATAATAATAATTTAATAATCGCTAGTCTATATTACAGTACTTAATTATGTATTTACTTGGCCGTCGAATTATGTATAACGGCCGATATAAATTTTCGCACAAACTGGTATAAAATCAAATATTGCGTTATCTTCATGGCAAAAGTATAAGGTATACATTGGCTGTCGGCACAATGTCAATATTCGCCGACTTAATTTGAAATTTAATAGAATATTATATCGAGTTCTGCAGCCGTGAAATTATTGTGCAAACACTCAATTAAACGGCGATCTTTCGTTGTATTTATTTCGGTAATTTTTTTTAAAGCAATAATTTCCCGTCAGAAAAGCGTCGGACCGCTTCATAATAATTTACGACAAGAGATGGAGTACAGTTGAGTAATGCGCACTGATAAACTAATACTACACTTCACCCTTATGGCCTTCCTCTTGTCCTCGACTTTAAACTTCAATAACTTTATAAGTGATTATTAGAAAAAAAAATGTTAAATGTATTTGGCCAAATGAGGGATCCGTTGTTATCGGTTTTATCGAAAACGAGTGTCACCCAAAAATAAATCACAAATTTGGTATTATTTGCGCTATGTTATAACGATTTTTACCCCGTAGGAAAAAAAACATCTCTTTCTCTAAAAGTTTGTTTTGAGCAATGCTCGTTAACGGTGCACGCGAACCCGCCCCTGTATGAAAAATGAAATATCTTTGCTATTTTGCCAAAAGTGGCTAAATGTCAGATTTGGTCAAATCCAGAGTACCTTTAGTACTTTAGTCTTTATTCGAAGTATAAAAGCCAAGAAACTATAAAAATCTTTGTTTCTAATATAGATTTTTTTTTAAAAAAAATATGAAAACTCACTATAAAAAAGCGTACTAGAACGGAGAGAGCATTCGAGTCAGTCATCTAAAATTGTTTTCTTTTTTTTTAATATCGTGGGTTAAATCAGGCATAATTAAAAATTACCAACTGCTATTCTATTGAACTGTTATGTTACCAATGATTCGTAAATCATATAGACAGCGAGTTTACTACAGATTAAATAAAGTTCGGTAATATACACTGTGGTAGATGTATCATTGATTTTAACTATACTGAAGAATAGATAAGTACATTTTAAAATCAATGGTGTAATGAATCAGCATATGTATGACTTAAAACAGTAACTAGTATAATAACTAAAATTTATGACGGGAGGAATGGTGGACTGTAGTATTTGTTTTATCTGTGCGCGTTCATTAACCCCACTCCACTTGCAGTCTTAAATTTTAAACTTTAAATATAATTATTTAAAACTGCATATTGACTAGTCAAAATTTCCTGTAAATTATTTGTAGTTTAAAAGTTTGATGTAATAAAATATTTTTAATTTTATATATATAATTTTAATACTATATTACTTTGCTATTTAAATGAATAGATAACTAGATAGTAAATTGACAACCAAAAATAGATGGTGGATTTTTTAATTTAGGTACTTTAATTATCAAATATTAACTAAAAGTGTAACCATAATATTTACTTCAAATTATTTATTTAAAACAATAATGTAACTAAATAATAGACACTTTTATCCTAAAATTTAAATAAAAAACTAGAAGTCTGCAGAAAAAATATTTAGATGAGTAATAGAATGATTAGCGATTAGGTTTTAACTCATATTTTCATAATATAGTAAACTAGATTTATATAATTGTAGTTTTAAGTTAATTTTAACAATCCTAACTAGGGTTTTTTTAGGTAAATTAATAATCCTCATTATTTTATGCTATATAAAATTCTATAATTATTATGGTCGTTGTGTTACTTATCTCCAATGTAAGCTGTTAGGTGTAAAAAAATTAAATCTAAAAAAGTTTGCAGGTTAGGAAAAGTACACTATATAGTGTACATTAGTAAATTTTAAAACTATATGTACTACTTCTTAAACTAGTCTTTAATTTCTTTTAACAGTTGAGACTTGCGTTGACTGAAGTATTAAGATTTATTTCATACTATAACTTCTGCATAACATTATACATAAATCATAATTAGATTTATATTTAAAAATGAATAGAACTGTTGTATGAGTTTTGTGTCTCTTTCATCAACAAAAGAGTCTAGAGTTACACGAAAGACGGCCTTACACGCAGAAATAATTAGGTTTTAAAAAATTGATATAACTTCAATATTTTGTTAAACTATATTATAATGATTTTAAATTAAGAACAATTTGTTTCCTTTAGGTTTTAGTTGTTTACGTGTTACATGAAATATGAATCTTATTTATTAATTTATAGTCAGCCCACAGCAATACAAATATTACAAATACTAGTATTTAATTAAAGTTTCGATTAAAAAGTTGAATAAACTTAAAACAACCTTTAGAGAAAAAAAACTTAAATAACTTTTCTTCTTATCAAAAACGATTAACTATTTACTTTTACTGTTTATTTTTCATTATATTAATTACTCGACTCGTAAAAAAGATTAAAGAAAACTGTCAACTGACGACTCCGAAGTCGACTCCGAGATCTCCGATCGCTGATTGTTGTTATCATATTCATAACAATATACAATCACAGCTCTGATATAATTTTACTTTTGAAGATTTGAGAGAGGCGCCAATCTGGAAACACTGAGTCGCCTCGTTTATGAACTACACATCCCTAGTGTTTCAAATTTGGTCTCCAGAAGTGTAATACTTCTGTGATATCTTTGACTGAGATTTAAGATAAGATAGATTAATTATTTTTTAAATGATTATTGCGCCAATATCTTTATAATTGTGCACACTTTAGTTTTATATAATATTATTAAAAATCGATCAAATTTTCTATTTGGGGTAGCAGTATGGGACAGTCCCATTTTGCAAAGATGACCTTGTTATAAATTAAAAATACATTGTTATAATTGGTTTACTAATTTGTGTGTCAAACAGAATGTTGAATTTTGTATATTATGTAAATGTACGAATTAATGTTCAAGTGTGCGGTGTGGGGCAAATCCCTCACGGCTCTGTGAAGTTTTAATTATCCGCCCTTAAAATTGAACTCGAAGTGGTATTATTGGAAGTGAAGAGAACACATTTTACTGTGATGACGTCCTTTTGTACACCACCCACCCCTCAAAACTCTGGAATATGCGCCGAACACGACGGTTAAAATACATATACCGGTTATTGCACATGGCGGCGTAAAGGGGATATCGATAATAAATTCGACTATAGCATACTTTACTATTACTTTTTGCGTGTACAATGACGTATACTTGATTTTGGCTCATCTTCACGTCGACATATTTGTTTTTATCATCGAATATTCGATAAGGGGTGGTGGTATATGTGCAACGACCTAGCTGTGTTTCAATTTAAATCATGGGCATATCGACGGCAACATTATCATAATTTCGTTGGGACGCAAAACGGCGGTTATTTTCGAGAAAAAAAATAATCTTAAAAAAATGCCGGCGGTGCTTCATATACCTATCTGCCTTTTTTGGCGACGGTCATCAGCTCGAGACGCGATTTTCTACAGGTACGGTGTTGTGGCATTACTGACTGCGGTTGCCGGTGCCTATATAATGGAAAGCCGGTTGTCGTCCCCCCGGCGCGAACGGTCCTACGCGGCGACGGCCACGGCATACCGGCGGTCGCGTCTACGGCCGAGTTTCGAGCGCGAGACGGCAGTTAGTTCGACCGGCAGCACCGTCGTGGCTTGTCCTGTGTGTGTGTTTGTGTGTTGTATTTTGTGCGATTTGCGCGCGTTCTCGCTGTTCGTCGAGTTTGTTTACTTTTCGTGACAATTTTTTTTTTTAATTTTATTTGTTCATTTGGACGTTTTAGCGCGCCCGCGTGTGTTGCGGGTCTTAACGCAATCCGTATCCGTTAGTAAATATCAGAAAAACTTCACGGTGTCGCGTGTGTGTGTGTGTGACATATACCTACCCACACCAGACTGAGGATATTTTGAATTTGAACGCGAACCGCCTGAACTGCTGTAAGTACTTTGCAAAAATTTTTCCTCAGATTTCAAAAACTAGCGGTTTTTTTTCTATTGTTCGCTGCCAACTAGAATTAAGTACACTGTACAAGTAAAACCGTATACGCCTTACACGGTTATAATATTATTATTATACGATACTTTACGGTTTACCTGTAGTCGGCGGCGGCGGCGGCGGTCACTTTTACTTGCGATTAACCGCGGTCGAGGCCGTAACGCCGACGCTATACATCCTTGAACGCGCATAGATACGTGAAACAAAAAATAAAATATGACTACAGTACCCATAGGTAATGAACAAAAAAAAAAACCAATAATAACGTGTTTTAATCGAATATCGTGTAATAAGCGTGTGTATTGTGTACACACATATACATACGTATTATATTATAGGTACCCACTGTAAACGACTTGGAACACCTGTCAGACGTGATAATAAATGGCGACGTCGTACGGTTTAGGGGAGAAAACAAAAATACAAATATTCTAACAGCTGTAATCGAGAGCTCCCCTCATTATTATTGAAAACCGTCGGCGTGCCCTGCGAACGGTGCCCTGCCGTTGTTCGTCGACCGAACCGATTTTGTCGGCCTAAAACAATATTATTCTAGTTTTATAATATTATTCCGACACCGTTCACAACAATATTAAGCCGAGTTTGTTTTTTTAATAATTCAAAATGGAATATCTCCCAACGCGGTTTAGTTACTGTACATTGTTTTACGATTGGTAGGTAGGTATGGAAAATTGGCTTGTTCCGAGTCTGAACATTAATTGTATGTCCTATTTATATATTATAGTCGTGTAGACGATCAAATTCCTATCGTAAAACCAACAAGTCCGTCGAACGAAAACGTACATATAATCTGTTTTAAATTGGTTGGTTGGTTTGTTACCTTTACGTTTGCAATGGGCAATCTTATCGAAAACATTTCAATATTATCACCCCGGAAAAATAATATTAGCTATTATTGCTCTCCTTTGGGCATTCGTGTGAGAGTTTTCGGATTACTAGGGTCACCTGTTATCGTTTATCAAGGTCTTAAAACATTTCACTAGAACTTGCAAGCTGATTATTTTATTTGTTATATATTTCGACGAAAATCGTAGTATTGCACAGAAAACGGTAACGTTGAATGGAGAAATGATGTTCACTAGAGCTGATACAAAATAATAAGTTGTCGGCTTTGCAAATAAAGCGCTAAGCAGGTTAAAGGTCTTTATGATTCATCAGAATCTGGAAACGGGTTAATAAATACACCAACACTAGCGTGTAATTATTTTTAAATCGTTATCTCAGGAAGTGGTCGTCGTTCAATAAAGGTGTTTCTACTTTGTCGACAATAAATAAAGTCGTTTTTCGATAACGACTCCTTCGAATGGGGCGTGTACTGTAGATTTTGGACAGGAAGTCGGTTGAACGAGACCGTGTTTATTTTTTTGTGGCAGCTCCCCTATAGAATATTACCAATCAGTTTTATATTTACATAAATCTTTGTAAGCCGCCATTTGAATTTCTTCGAAATCAAATCGTTTACGGCGACGACGTTTGGGAATATTATTTCCTCTCGTGTGTGAACAATATCCCCCGCCCACCTCCCGTTGTAACGTGGAATTTTCTGTTTAGTTGGGTTATTCGGGACGCCATAAAAATTTTAAACATTTTAACTCTCTGTTTATGACATCAAAAAACGAGCCGGTTGCCTGACTGTAACCAAAAACACGGCCAGTGTTCCGAGCCGTTCGTATAAGTAATTGGAATGTGTGCCGTTCAAACGCGGTGTACACTCGAGCTCTTAATACTTGGAATACCGACTTAAAAGTCTCTTAGATCCCTCGGTTTGGTAATTATTCACATCATAATGTGATACGATACGAGTACTGATTTTGAAGTGCGGTAATTATTTTAAACATTTCCTACCCTGCCGTTAAAGTAGCTCTAAAACTCTTCAATTTCGGCCGTTTCAGAAGAGGGCTCCGCTCGAATAAAGACGCACGACGCGCGCTTTTCACTGGGTGACAAGGGAATATTTTCAGCTAATAACCGCTCTTTAAACGTTATAAAGATTTTGTAGACGGTAGTGAGGGTACGTTTATCACTCTATACCTGAGTGTGCGTGTGAAAAGAGATTTTTGCGCGAAGGAGGGTCTACCGGATCAGCACACAATAGTCGCAGGGTCGACGGCGTGTTATTGTGGGCAAACAAGCAGAAAAAAAAGGGGAAAAAATCGCATTTAAAAATGTATATCAAACAATTCAAACACGTGTGTTTGTGTAAGACGATAATATATTTGTTCAAATCTCTGTAAGTACAATGTGCATGGGTATGGATGCCAGAAGGATAGTATTTCTGGTGTTACAACGAATTTTATTTTATAATTTAAAAAAAATCATTTGACAGTATTTCTTAGAGTAAAACTTAATATATGTACGTATCGCTATTTACTCTTGGACTGGTTCGTAATTATTTTCTTTATCGTACCTACTATTATTGTAGATTATTAAATCCGGTGGCTAAAACTAAAAAAAAATCTTATTCTATGTAGAGCTCGGTGAATATACTATATCATATTGATTAACAGTTTGTAATTAAAAATGTACAATTATTTTGTAAAAAAAAACATTTACATGGCCAATGTAGTCCATTTATTTACAATTATCCCTTACTTGACCTTAATTGGTACATGTAAATTGTCGGTCGTCCTTGGCCTCTCTTGGCTCTTGTCATCAGTTGTTCGGTCTAATTGTCATATATATTATATCGTTGATTTTCATGTCTCTAGATTGTACAAAATATATTTAAGACGTGACATCAAAATGCTTTTAATTATTGAACCTCAATGACTAGCTGTGATTGTCGTTGTTTTTTAATTAATTAAAATCAATATTTTGTTAGCTTTAAGTGCTCTACACACACAATTTAGTAATTAATACTAATGATAATGATCGACTCAAAGATAATTCATAAAGTACCGGCTCTCTTTTCTAATGTATTAATTTTCTTTGACATATCATACAAGTCATTAGCGGCCCATTTTTCTTTCATTCTGAATTGACCCAAGAAGGTATCTCGAACTCCTCTAGCCAGCCCGTCTTTAAATACAGGTAATAATTATTATTTAGCTTTTATTGTTAACGGATGATATAATACATACATAATTTAATCATGTTTGATGATTATGATATAAAACCGTCACAATCGTTCGCCTTAATTTAAAATTAAAATTTTTTTAGGCTATTCCAGAAAAAACTACATCCGGTGAAAAATTAGTAAACAGTCATTATGAACGGTACGGTTCGCTTGTTTAAAAAATGTATTTGTTCAACAATTATTATTAACTGCAATTTAGATAGTAGGTTTTTTTTACAATAACCTAAACACCGTTTTTATACAATACACAATTACATTCATTCGATCAGCTAGTAAAAATATTTACATTACTCGTTTTTTTTTGTTATTTCATAAAAGCGTATTTATTGTGCTTCGTGAACAGTATTAATTGGATTATTATGTTTATGATTAGTTTTAACTAAAAAAAAATAAAAATAATGAGATTACCCTGGATGGTCTTTTTTAAACAAATAAAGTATAATACTTGAACGTTATTGGACGATGAAATAAAATTTTAAAATTGTTTTCCAAACACCATAATGTACTATTGCTATTTACTACTAATAATAAAAAATAATAAAAATGTGTTTCCTTAAATAACTATTGTCTTATGCTTGTATATCGTGTAGAATATTTGTATACTCATACACTACTTTCCTTAAAAAATTATGGTTTTAATTATGATTAGTTTAATTTGGTATTTCTAATACGTTTATATAAATACATTTTATTTATTGTATTATAATTATGTGTATAAAATAAATGCATGGTGAATTACCTTTTATTTACATATATTCACACACATATATATATATATGCTTGTGTTTATTGATCGATTTTGTTTCTGTGTAGTTCTAAGAAGATTAAAGACAACTTTAAATTGGCATTTTCCATATTTTATAAACAAAATTTAAGTTCTAGAAAGTTTGTTTACTAACTTGTTATTGTAAACCTTAAGCTTGATATCTTTATAATAATTAATAGCTATTATAATATATAATATTATTCACTTTGAACGTGTAGACTAAGTCTCTGGAGTTTATGATTTATACTGTTTAGTAGTAAGATGTGTTTGCACCTATGGCCTTATCTTCATACTACAGGCTTTTAGATAATTTTTTCCATTTTTACTTATAATATTACCTCGGTGAATTATTATATTTAGCGTAATTCGCATTTTTCGGTGCCACAGGCTGTATCATATTTTTGACTTTTGGCTCATTTAGTGAGATAATCGTCAAGGAAGCTTCGTAAAATAATCAGAGGATTAACTTACTATGCTCTGTTAATTAATTTCTACAAAAATATTTTTGCTAAAAATACTTGTCGCTTTTTCCAACAATTTTCTTTTGTGGGATGGATCTAAAGTCTAAATGTTCCGGGGAATTTTTTTTATTATCGTTACGAACCGCTGTATAAATCATAAATATTATATTATATTTCATGGCCGCAATTTTAATAACAGTAATTCTTGTCAATTGAAACTTTTACCGTTGACTTTTTTATTATTCGGACTCTTGTTATGAGCGCCGTTATTTTTTATGATGACTTAATTTTAATTTTATATTGTACACTTAGACCGGCGCGTGACGCGTAATTTTGAAGCAACGCTACTTAAAAACAAATTATTATTTTATAGGCAGAGCAATAATTATTATCTAGTTATTTGTTGATTAGATTTGCATGTTGTCGTAATGAAAATGACCTTTGGTTAATAATTTTATGCGTTCCAATACCCACCTATAGTTTTGTTTTTGTTTAAAAAACTAGTTTACGACCAGTCAATATTTTTAGATAAACGTACACTGTATAAAATATTTTAAATTTGAATAAATAATAAAGATACTAATAAATACCGATCTTCGATGGATAAAATTATTAACT